ACCACTCATAAAAAAAAAAGTTTAAAAGGGGGATATTAATGATTATAAAATTGAGTTAAAAGTTCAATTTTCTCTACTTCTAGCTGATTTAACTATATTTCTTTGCTGTGTTAATTTTCATAGCCATAGTTAGAGATAAATGTTATCATCTATCTGCTTGTTAGAAGAGGATTTTTTTTTTTAACTTATTATAATTCTGAGGAGCAGCTCCCTGTTGAGATCCCCAGACAAAGGACTCCAGTTTCTCTGGGGGGGAAAAAACCCACAATCCAAACAAATAACAAAACAAGGTCATGGCCTTCCAATATGTGCTTAATAGATTGTTCATTCAGTGACATCAAATGAATTTCACTGAATTAAACTAGCAGCTTCAGGAGCACAGAATTATCTTCGTATCTTACCTCTCGATGCTGTTGTCGTATAGATAGGCAGATCTTTAGCAGCTCTTCTCAAAATCTCCTGCTGGTATTCTGGTCTCTCTTCTTTTTCATATTGTTCTTTATCAGCTTTTGACAAACAAAACTAGGAGGGAGGGAGAAAATGGAACAAAGGGAAAAGATTAATTGTTACTTTGTGTTCCAGTCAAGCTCCAAGGAAAAGACCCTATGTATCTTACTCTTCTGTTTTTGGAGAACCCCCAACCACTGACCAAAAAACTCCACATAAAGAAAGAAGAATGCTACAGAAATTACATGAGATCCTTAAAACTCCACAATAGTCTTGGGTAGAGTTTAAAGAAAACAATGTTTATCTGCTCCATTATCTACAGCATTTTCCCTTCAACACAAACAAGGGCAGAGACTCACAGTGAGTTTCAAGAAAGCACAACCTTTCCTTTAATTCCTGATGAGCATAAATGAAATGATCTGTGAGCAAGAGGAAGATGCAATAGTCCTTTGCTCCTACAGGGAACTAAAGTTCTCTTATCCCTATTTCTCTGACTTAGAGAGGGGTACAAACCAGAGGGGGCAAGAAAATGGTGGGGCAGAAGGGGGCTTCATGGCTTCAGCTCAGAAGTTGGAAGTGTTTAACTGGGATTTTTACTTAGGTGTAGTCAGCATTACAACTTCTACTTTAGTAGTCAGCAAGATCCAGGAGCTGTATTGAAAGCAACTTCTCCAAAGCCTGTACAGTTTGAGAAAGTTCCAATTCTGAGTAAAGCATGAGAAGCATTCCTGTTGAAGCCTCACTGAAATGTAGAGCTTTACCAGAAGAAGCTGGAGAGGTTTTACTCACTTGTGAAACACTTTGTTTGGTATCCACTGAAACTGTGAGCTTTACCATTAAGCTCCACAAAACCCCATGTGCTGACAAGCCCCAGCGGAGTGGGGGCTGAACTCACTATTTCGTTTGTATTTTTCTCTTCTGAAGCGCTTTTAAACTCTGAGCTTCCTGCATGGACTAAAAGAGCTCTTTTTATGAACACACATAAACAAACTATTCATGGAAGTGAGTGGAAAATCCTGTGTGTGCAGCTGGAACAAAAATTGGCTTAGTGTGGTTTAATACAACGATATTTTCCTACCAAGAACATGTATATGATTAGTTCACATGGATTTTCCTCTCATCCTGTACTTTTTCCTCTTTGGGATTACAGTCTGTTGGCAAGCAACAGCGAAGGCTCCACTTACAGAAAGGAAGAAGCAGTAAGACATTGCTGCAGTTTCTCTATTATTTCCTTACCCAGAATGCAACCAAGTTGCCTCATATCTCACATCTCACAGAATCTAGTTAAGCCTCCTATTACATATAATATCATCCCAGTTATTGAGCCTACCCACCATTCAAAGGTGAAACATGAACCACAATCCCCTTATAAAAAACCAGAAACTAGGACTGATCTATGTGAAGGGTGAAATTAAAGTTTAACCAAGAGTTTGACCTAATTTTTCAACCGTAATATCCAAGGCAGATGTTTACTCAAATACGAAAATTGAAGATGCTTACATTGAATGTTTAAGGCAAATATGAAGCATCATGCCAGCAAACAGTATGCAATGTTCCTTCCTCCCCACTGCCCTAGTGAGTCTGCTAGGTGACCCTCTGCCTGGCTCCATGACCTGCAATCAAGCCCAGGCTGCATTAAAGATGAAATACTGCTTCTAAATGACATTTCTATGGCAAAATTTTAATGCACAGAAAAGGAACTAGATCACAACATTTAAAACTTTTTAATTTGTTCAAGTAACATCATAATAATAGTATTACTCCAAAAATCTTGGATAGGATTTTGATTTTCCGAAGAGTTATATTTCTGTTCTAATTTCAGAAATTCATAGGGCCATGAGACCACAGTCTCTTTGGACAATGGCAGGATATGTTCAGAGACATCAAAAGTTGTCTGTTACCACATAGCTAACAGAATTTTCAATGAGGTTCCAGCAGTTCTTATTGAAAACAGAAAGAGTCCCTTTGTTTCCTTCCTCTTTCTGCATCTTGTGTAATGTTGATTGTTCTTTATTATGACAAATGTACAGAGATTACACTAAAACAACAGCAGCTGCAGAATCTATTTTGGTTCAATAGTAAGATCACAGGATGCTGTTTGTTTTGTAAGAATGGCTAATTTGACTGACTAAAAATATATACGTTTACACTCATACAATAGGGAGATTCTAAAGACAGGCTTTGTTTTTAAGTATAACCAGCATAAATTACTCACTACTACACTGATAGAAAGATCTTGCCTAGAAAGAGAAAAAGGGCTGGTAGTTGTTTTGTTTAGTGTTTTTTTGGGTCTTGTTGGTTTTGTTTTGTTTTGGTTTTAATGTGTTTTTCGTTGCTTGTTGTTGTTTGGTTCCTCCCTCCCCCCATTTTTTTAAGCTAACTGTAGAAAACTGCATTAAAGCTGATCTACCTCCACACTTGCTATAGGAAATATTCATTACATGCCACATGCCCAAACCACCCCTTTCGCTCACTGAATACGACAAGTTTGCTACAACATCATTGTAACTACAGGATAAATACTACCAAAAGAAGTTTTCTATTACTGAAGAATCCAAGCAGACAGTAAAAGCTGCTAGGCATTAGCTTTATGATCAGTTCTAGTTCATATAGCGTTACAAAACCTAGAGTAACACAGTTCCAATCACATTTGGAACCCTCCCTGGTACAACTTCATACCATTTCTTCTCATCCTATTGCTTGTTTCTTGGGAGAACAAACCAACACCCACCTCGCTACAACCTCTTTCAGGTAGCTGTAGAGAGTGATAAGGTTACCCATAAGCCTCCTTTTCTTCAGGCTAAACAACCCCAGTTCCCTCAGCTGCTCCTCAGAGGACTTCTGCTCTAGAACCTTGACCAGGTTCATTCACTCTTTTTGCTTAGCTAAATAGTGGAACAATCTTTAGCTCTTTTCAGTTTATATTCTGTAGATTTAAGATGCAGATCTCTAAGCCATAATTAAGCACTGCACAGCAGTGTTTGCTCTTCCTTAGAAGCATGGTTTAAACTCTTTTCAAAAACGCTTAAGGTTGGCATTAGCATTGAAAGTCAGCCTTGCCAAAAATAGAATAACCCCCATAGAGCAACCAAAGCTTCAAACAGTTTAGCCAATTTAAAAGCTTTATAAGACCAAGGAAGGGAAGGGAAATACTGTAAATTTAGGGTGGCAATATTTAATCCTTCCATACACACACCCCAGAGAAAACAGAAAACAAGGTAACCCATCTCAGGCTTACTGCAGTCAACACCATGTTTTTTCAAACCAAAATGTCTTACAGCCATCATGCATTCTTTTGCCATTATATAAAGCTCCTTTATGTATTCACTTCTCAATTGTCCCTAAACCTTAACCCTTGACTTACTACTAAGTGGTTCAGTCCTCCAAGTTATGAATATACACTGCATACCTACTTTTTCTTACCAAAACAAAGGTCAAAACTGCCTAAAAGGGAAATATAAAAATGTCACTGTATTTGCTTTTAAAAATTCCAAGTTTCAAGCAAACTACTTCAGAGCAAAGCACTGTACATGACTGTCAAACTCGTGACGAATTAAACGCATGTTTCGTATGAGGAAATGTCATTACACAAAGCATACAGTATTTTAAGAGTCACTTGATCATTTTCATTCATGATACACTGTCATGCTGTTCTATTTTCGATAATGAGAAAGGAAAGGTGAATCATGCAGCACTGCAAACAAGTTTCATCACTGAGAAGAGTTCAGCTATTTATAAAAAAGGCATTGACATTTTTCTAATGTTATATTTACCTCTTTAGAGGGGGATGCAGGAGATGTGAAAATTGTCTTCCAGTAAGACCATACAAACATGAAAAATGACAGATGAAAAATCACAAGGTAGACAGCTGCAATAAAATACAAATACAGAGTTTAGTAAGTATAGCTGAAAAGAACAAGCTATAAAATCCCTCACCTCTGATGAAGGCTAAACTACTACACTATGAATCAGCTGATAAAATTATATTAAACCCTTCTCCTTGCACAGATTTAGCAGTTTAGGAGTGCTCACTTGGGAAAAAAAAAAAAAAAGAAAAGAAAAAAGGAAAAACTATCACCAAATGTAATAGTTGTTATTCCTCAAGGAAATAATATGCTTTTATGTATGATTCCAAAACAGACTTTGAAGGAAAAAAAACAAACCAAACCACTCCCAAAACCCAGAACTGAACACAGCTTCACCTGTGGCATGTGACTAACCTTTCTGGATAAAGAAGATGCTACAATTCTGTTCTAAAGTATAGTAAAGTATTTGATAACTGACCTATAGAATTCAATTTATTTTCTACTTCTAATAGAAACAGTGCAGCAGTGTGCCATTTTAGAAGGCACTGGTCATCAATGACAACAAAAACCCCAAAGCAGGGGTTTGTAGAGGACTGCACTCCAAGATGAGAGCTAGCTGTGAGCTAAAAATTGATTATCTTCTTTCAAATCATCATAGGAATATAAGCTGGAAGAGTCCTGCTATTACAGTCATGTGTCAACAAAATGTAGGTAGCTTTAGTAGGGGGGTTAATCAATTTATGAATGGGTCTGTGTGATATGGTTGCGTTAAAGACCAGAGATTCAGACCTTATGACCCAGGAAGTTTCTTCCAATCTTGTTTTCCCTAACAGTTTATTTTACCACTTGTAAAGAGGAAACAGATCAGTTGTGCCAGAACAGCAAGCCATAGAAAAGAAGTCATAGTAAATATTTACATTATCTTCACTTACATTATCTTCAGTTGCAGGAATAAGGAAACTTGACCTACTTTCCTGTACACATAAAGACAGTCCTTTAAGCAGTATGGTGTGCTCCATGGAAGGTAAAACAGGCTCGAAACTTTGAGAACTTCCAACAGCTCAGGAAATGTTTGTGCAGTCACAGAAAACATGGCCTTAAGTTATCATCTTTCAGGATTTTCATTGCTTGGTGCAATGAAAACAAACTTAATGTGACCTTTCTTCAGAGAATTATGCTTTTTACCTTTGCCTCCAACTCTTCCAACCTTACAGCCAGATTTGACAAATTTTCAGCCATGGAGCTGACCAAAAAAGCAAGAAGCAAAGCCTGTTTCAAAAGCCATCCTAAAACTGTCATCCTGATAGGAAAGAACCTGTGTATCACTGCACTAGGCACTGCATAATTAGAAATTGTCTTTTATTAAAAACATACAGTACACATTCTAACATAATGCAGTTAAGCAATTAAAGCATGAGAGAATTGTTTGGATAGAGGAGCAAGACTCAAAACTGAACTGGAATCAGCTGCACATATTGGAGCTTTGGGGGAGAAGAGGGTGAGAGGAGTTGAATAGAAGGAAAAAGGAAATGAGATGCAGGGCAGGGCACAGCAAAACTAAGAGAGTAAACAGTTCTATTCTGTCCATAAAAATCACCTCCAGAATTCAGATTCCTTTGAAGGATTATTTTTAGAGCACACACAATACTTCAAACAGCAGAACCTCAATGTCTCGTTGCAGGCTGTAAATGCCCCAACAACAGAATGAACAACAAGCACCAAGGCTGCTTGCAGCAAGGGTACAGAACTGTGCCAATGCTATCAGTATTTACTAGAAAGAGGCAGTTGTTAAAGTGCTCTTGCACTCTTGCAGTAACTGAGAACTTGCAATCTGTCACTGTCATTAAAAGCCAAGGGCTTGTCCTCAGTAGCCAAACTGGGGCAACTTAAGGGAGACCAAGACTTTCATGGTTGTTCCAGTGATGGGCACCACCCAATCTGGAGCAAAAAGAGCCTGCAATTGGCAGTCCATACTGGTCCTGCACTGAATAAATTCTTGCTTCTTTTCCCTCTCCTGTGCTGCCATTCCTACTGTGATTACAGGTACCTGTCCCAAGAAATGAGAGGGAGGGAAGATACCATTTTTCACAGCTTTACTTTGGCAGTACCTCTACCCACCATTTTGGGTAGCAATATCTCCTCTGTAGACTACTCCCCGAAGCATCTTGGATCAGTTTCCAATACAAATATAAACCAGCCTCATTCCTATTCAGCTCATTTTCCTGTAAGTACAAGCTACATGGAAAACACATCAAAACCCCCAAACCACCATACCGGCCAGTTTAGCCAGACAGAGTCATGAGGAAATCCTGGCAAAGCTAAGGGAATCCAGGATTCTTGGTGCCATGCTGTGACCAAGTGAAGTCGCTTCTCTTTAAAGGCACTGATGCATATTAGACCATAATTTATGCCCTCAAGAGGACAATGTCTTAAGACATGCTCTTAGAATCCTCCTAAACTATGTTAACCCCTCCTAAGATTTGCTATTAACATACTTTTCTTAATAATTCTTAATACTGCATCTAAGACAGATTGCACAAAGATAGTAATCTGTAACAGAAGTATATTATATTGTTGAGAGATGCAGAATTGAATTTTTTCCTCTATCTTAATGAATATAAATCTAGACAAGAATATGAAATTACAAAGAAACAGCTTCAATGGTTTGAAGAAATCGCCACTAATTTAATCAAAAGTCACAATTAAATACTGGAAATAAAAGGATTTGAACACAGTACACTGAAATATGGAGCAAAATATATTTGCTAAGATGCACATTATTGATTTACACAGCAATGTTACTGACAGATTGGCCTTTTAACTCTTCTGGTGTTATTTCCCAGCTATTATGATTTAGCTTCTAAGAACTTTCTAGAACTTATGACAGCTTTCATTTCAAATGAAAAAAAGACTTCACAGCTCATTTTAAGATCAACCTCAATATTTCCATAAAGAAATTCATGCATACAGAATGCCTATGACATGCTTTAGAATTGAAGATGCAAGAAGCGTGCAGGTGACAGCTGTTAAAAGCCTTCCAGTCAGGTTCCAGTGATCCTGTCAGTCTCATTAATTACTCAGGCATTTTTCTTCTCTGGTAAGTTTAAGAGCACCTGCTTCAGTCAGACAGGCACCACACTGGTATTAAAGCCAGAGATCTGACTATGCAACACCAACATCACTGCTCTGTCGTATTTCCTTAACTGAGATGTGGAACTTGTCTTTCCAGAACAAACTAGAAAGTAAAGCTTATTCATATACAGGTCAACAAGAAAGCATAGCAGCAATTTGCAGAATTTTTTAAGTAGGTGAAGCCCAGTTGTGTAATGTGATATAAAAATCCAGGGTAAGACACAGCTCCCATCTTGAATAGCTTGCAGTTTACTTTGGAGATTTTCCCTCTCATCTTCTAATGAAGAAGTGAAAGGAAGAGGGCAGATCAAGGTTTCTTCCTTTCAGCGTTCTCCTGGATGTTCCCCACCAGGAAGAACACTGCTAGATTGCCTTCAAATTCTATGCTCTTCTGCTAAAACATTTAAGAGATGAGAGCCTCTTGCCAGTCATCTCATACTCTGAAAACAGCCCTCTGCAGACAGTCTAAATGCAAATCCATGCCTAATCTACCACCCGTGCACCTCCCCACACTCCAGCTGAAATGAACTCCCAAACAAATACCTCATCAAGAACTTTATTTTTTTCTGTAGAAATACAAGTAAGTTTTACTCAAAACCAAACATATCTTGAACTTCTGGAACTGAATCACTATTTAGACTAACTTTTTATTAGCAATTAAAACAAGTGGCAGAGCAAGAATGCTGGAATTTTTTTGGCGAGTTTGTATCTCTAAGTACTACCCACTGTGGCATATACATGCCAAAGCCAATATGAAGATTTAAGTACAGTTTGTCAAAACAAGGCCTTAACCATCAACAATTTAAAATTATAATGTGCAGTCACCTCTGAAATGGTTGTGTTCTGCACAGTTCCAACAGTCCTAAAGAATGGGGTTCTGAGGAGTCTGGTAAGCTGTTTGGAAAATAGCAAGCAGGTTCTACTCTTAAGGAAGAGGAAGAATTGTTCTTCCTCTTCCATAAGTCTTTCAGGTCAGGGTGTGTTTAGGAATGAACAGAAAATGGACTTGTGGATCTGCTGCAGTTCCTTCTTTCTTATCCTTTTTCTCTTCTTAGAAGGTACCCATTTAAAAATATTTGCAAACTTAAATCATAGACTCACAGGGCTTGTCATCATCCCAAGCTTGTGGTACTAGAAGCTAAATAGACTCAACCTCACAATATTTACCTTGTTACCTTAGTAGCACTAATCTACTTGCTACAAACAGCTTAGATATAGAGGATTATATTTAACTTCTATGTCCCTTAAGACTTGTGTGCAACAAACTATTCACATCTTCCAAAAAATAAATTAAAAATTTACCTTTTTCTGCAGTTGAAGAAATAGTAACTGAAAGAGAAAGAAAAAAGATACGTGGTGAGTAAATGCATATTGAATCAAATATTTGGCTAGAAGTGAGATATGAGACAGCTGATTTGTTCCAAAGCCTACTTCAGGTGTTAGTAGAGCTTCCCTAACCCACACTGGGGTAAAACAGGAGTCAGTATTACTCTGGCCAGCCCTTGAGGCTCGGTGAGTCAGTGGAAGAGCTCAAGCAATCCAGTTCCCTGCCTAGCCAAGTGTACACACTTCTTTTCACATTGATTAGACCTTAATTTATGCATGTTCCCCTTCAGATACACAACTAGAAGAGTTTTCTGAGTCAACAACTAGGCCAACAAGGGTACCACTGAAAGGCAGAAAATGAAGTAAAACAAGTTCCTACAGAAGTCCCCGTGGAATTGTGTTACATGTAACCTACTTCCCTCCCAGTTTTTTTCCCACCACTTCTCTCTTCCCGTCACATGCTATTTTTGACTTTTTTCCCTTGACCTGAATTCTTTAAGTATAGTTAAAATCTCTCCACTTCCTTGTCTCCTACATTCTCATCTCCTTGTAACCCAACAGCAAATTCTGTTGTTCAAATCTGCCTTGTATACTGCCTGACTAGTAGTACATCCTCCTGTCCTCAGGCTTCTCCAGAACCTTCATGCTTCATTCATCAGTTCAAGCAAGATCATAGAATCATAGAACGGTTTGGGTTTGAAAGGACCTTCAAAGATCATCTAGTTCCAACCCCCCTGCCATGAGCAGGGTCACCTCACACTAAACCAGGTGGCCTAAGGCTCTGTCCAACCTGGCCTTGAACACTGCCAGGGATGGAGCATTCACAGCTTCCTTGGGCAACCCATTCCAGTGCCTCACCACCCTCACTGTAAAGAACTTCCCCTGTTTAAGTTCGAACCCGTTCCCCCTTGTCCTACCACTACAGTCCCTAACGAAGAGTCCCTCACCAGCATCCTTCTAGGTCCCCTTCAGATACTGGAAGGCTGCTATGAGGTCTCCACGCAGTCTTCTCTTCTCCAGGCTGAACAGCCCCAACTTTCTCAGCCTGTCTTCATAAGGGAGGTGCTCCAGGCCCTGTATCATCCTTGTGGCCCTTCTCTGGACTTGCTCCAACAGCTCCATGTCCTTTTTATGTTGAGGACACCAGAACTGTACACAATACTCCAAGCGAGGTCTCACAAGAACAGAGAGCTGTTTTACTTATTGGGTTGCTCTATTCTTCCTTAGACACTGAATTCCTGAAATTCAACAAGGAAAGGATCTTTTCTTGATTTTTCATCTTATACAGTAAATTCTGGTCACCAGCACAAGCAAAAGGTCAACAGGAACAACTTGTCTACTGCAGTTCACCTCACTCCACACTGTCTCTTCTCTCCTAGCTCTGACATTTCTACAGTCATTAGTCTATGTGCCAGTTCAAGAGCTTCTTCCCGATGCACATTAGAGTCTTAAATTTTGCAGGGCATCAGTGTGCATTGCAGACTTCCTTCTGAAGGGTTACTTCGGTCACAGAGGTGGCGTGTGTCTCACCTAATTGCAGATATCTATAGCAAGAGTCTGCAACTAGTTATGCAACTGTGTCTCTTCTTCTAGTCATCAAGAGACAATGAGGAGACATTTCAATGTACAGATGACCCCTTTTTCTTCAGATACGTGGGTTTGGTGTTGCATGTCGTCTCCCCTCTTATGCTTATCCTTCTGCCCCTTCCTTAAAACATCCACTTGGTACCCTCCATGGACCTCCCAGTTCATGGGAGCTGCTGTGAAGTTAATGGAAAAGGTTCCAGTCCTTTCACCCAATGAAGGGAGAGATTACCATTTAGAACAGAGCAAGGCTAGCTTCAAACTAATTGACTAACTAGGTCAATCCTAAAGAACATCTTAATTTCACATTAGGTATGCATACCTAATATCCTCCTCCCCTGTTTCTGTCTGCAACAGGGACAAGACCCACACAGGAGAACAGACCTGAAGCACACAATTACCTACAAAGTATGCATGTAAATGTAAGACCAGGTCCCGTTGTGTCATGGTAGTCTCAGCACTACTCCTCTGCATGCTACAAAAGTCATATTATAATCCTGTGGTTTTGCTTGAAATTTGAATAATGCGTTATTTCTCCAGTTAACACATTTTGAACTACACAAGGAGAAGATAAAACCATTAAAAAGGTGAAAATTAAAACAAGCTTGCTGAGGTGGCTGGTTTGCTTACCTTCAAAAAAAAAAAAAAAAAAAAAAAGAAAATCCTAAAAGTACTTTAAATGAAGCGTTCTCTTTGGCTTCTCATATACCTTAAGTAAACACCTTTGCACACAGCTGGACAAACACCTATTTCCCTGGACAAGAAACATAAGAAAGTTCTTAATTATCCTCTAATAGAATGGGAGAACATCATTATCTGTAAAACTACAGGAAGTTTTTGGAAGTAATTCTGATTAAAGCACTCCGTAATCTGTAGCCTTACTTCTGCTCTCAGCACAAAACAAAACTGAGCCAAACTTCAGGTTTGAAGACTCAAAATAATAATCAGTCTTTACACACAGGGGAAAAAAAAGCTTAAGATGCTATCACCTGTGAGACTTCATCAAAAGCATCCCTAAATAAGCCTCATAAAAATTAATTAAAGCTTCACAGCACCAGGAAGATAATTTTCTCTTTCGTACCTCAGTCCCTTGGGTCCGAACGCAGTTATTAGGCTGCGCAGAACAATTTTAGTTTGGCAAACTCCTGTGGTTTGCAGTAAAAGCCAATACTGAAATGTTTGTGATTTTCATCGTGTCTTATCGTCCTCAAATGGAATAAAAAGATGACCAGTTCTATGCCTCAGAAGTTCATGCAAGTGTTTCTATTCCTTTCACTGTTGTTACTCCCATTGTCAGACAGATTAAATGAACAGCAATCCTACTACTTGAGTCCAAATTCACCCAGCAAATGGCAAACCAACAGTTTTAAAGGATCTTTACACTACCAGGCAAAGCCTTCCTCTGTAAGTTAATATTTAACCTTTACATAAGACAGACCTTTATTTGCTAGGCTGGCAATGTAACAAGCAGCTTTACACCATCAGGAAATCAATTCTAGCTTTTGAACTCTAGTTCAGGAAAAAAAGAACCAAACCAAAACCAACAAACCAACCAACAAACCACAAAAGGAGACATTACCATTGTGGCCCATCATCCCCTGCCTGTAGTTTAAATTACCAGTTTAGCTCTCTATTGCTTGTAATCACTTGCCATCAACAACTCGGAACAAGCCAGTTTTCACTAAATTGGTACCACTTTCAGTTTAAACACTTCTAAAACACAGTGGGGGGTGGGATGGGGGGAAAAGCAGCACTGCCTTTGTGCTTATTGATTTTTCTTTTTTTTTTAAACAAAACAAGCACTGCATATGATTTATATGTTAACCTAAGGATGCTACAGCACTATACACTAGATTAGATGCATCAGCACAAGTTAGTACCTTCAGCACTGCAGTCAACACAAAACTGTCAATATTTCAGAAACTTAAATATTGGGGTTTTTTTTTCAAATTTAAAAATATATCCCCATATCAGTCTATTGCTCAACTGCAAAATGAAATATGAGAGGAAAAGTATTTTTAGGATTGGCTTCTTAAGTTTCTGGTTTCTTGAGAAATTATTACAAAGTTCTAGCACGATATTGCTATGGAAGGATAAAAATACGACTGGACAGTGAAAGCTGCAGTTCACTTCATTGCAAAGAGCTCAGAAGCAGGCACTTGTACTCATGCACAGTGAGTTTCCACTAAGGCCTCATAATTTCAAAGGATTCAACATCTCAGTGTTACAGTACCAAGCAAGTTGAACAATGTGAAGGAATCCAGTCTGTCTGACTGCAGCGCAGAGCTTACCTTGGCTACCTCAGGGTTTGGTTTGCCCTTTGGGATCACCGCAATATGAACCACAAAAACTAAGTACATAGTTTCACTTTCTACAGAATACTACCTCCAAAATACATGAGACAAACTTTTATTAGGCTGGATTAAACTGTACGTTTTAATTTGGACTGCTCAGAGTACATTATCACAGGCAACAATCCTGCAGCTATAGGGACATCATTAGTTGCATAACAAATGGACTGGGGGGAAAATAGCATTTGCTGGAAGCATTCCTCTTGGAGTATGAACTGACAGAGCTGCAGATTTCACAAAGCTTTGGAGAATTTTTTAAGCTGCTTCAAGGAAACCTGCAAGAACATCTTGGAAGAACAAGTATGTTTAGGAAGCTGGTTTGCCGTCAGTTTTAGGCTTGTTTTCAGGATTGCTATGAAGTGTTCAAGCACCTTCCAAATCACTGCATAATACAAAAACCACCAAATCTCTCTATTCTGCGGCAAAGAGGTGCAATGATCTGCCAAGACCTTGCAAGAGGCATGCTGTAAGATGACACATTTGCCTTCAGCCTTTAAAGGAAAGAACCCCAACACTCTACAAAACCCACACATCTCCCTACTCCCCTAAAAGGCATATTCCAATTAAAGTCAGACCTGCTCCTTGCAGAGCAAGAAATTCAATGGCAACTAATGTAGAAGCATATAAAAGGAAGGAACTGATCTTGCTACTGATATGCTATGTTTATTTCTGCCTGTGCCCTCCCACAATGGCTCCTAGCAGGAGTCATACTCTGGGTATTACAGCCTCTCCATGAATCTCAAGGGTAACATTCACATTTTGGCTGACATTCATCACGGGTGGGAAGAGTGATAAATGTGCAATTGCATCCCTTCACCAGATGTACAGCCTCAACTTTTCTCAGTTTTTAAGGAAAAGGGTTAAAATACATTTATACATGCATATGCACACACACTTCTAGAAGTTACCAGTACAGAAACTCAACAGAAACTCCCCACAGGCACTACCCTGTCTGAAAAGCCAAGCACCATGGACATTATCCCAAGTATTTAATTTGTTCAGAGAATGGCATTTAGTTGAAAGTATAACAGATTTATGGGAAACAAATTCCCACTTGCAA